GCATATTTCATCAACATTTCGAATTGCACAACCCATTAAACCATGGAAAACACTTTCAACATTTATCCAAAAAGAACCGAAAGTTTTACCAGCGTCGTCTTCCGAAACTGTCACCCATGCTTGTGCTAATTTCTCTTCTTCCTCTTCTGATCATTTCTTATTTTTGGGAGGCATAGTTTTTGAAAGATCAAACAACAAAAGCGTATCTAAAGGGGAGAAGAATTGTATGAAAATAAGAAGATGAGTGGTAGTATTTATAGGTGAATGTTGAAAAAATAGAAAAGAAGCCGTTAGGGAGGGGAAGAAAGTGGTCAAACGAGATTTAATGCAATAAATTAAACTATTGGCCGTTTGGGTTGGTTGTCGGGAGCACGGAGGACCACGACCACGACCCACCACGAACCACCGGGGTGGTGTGCACGGTCGTGGTTCGTGGCCACCTAGACCACGAGGACTCTCGTGCTATCTATACCAGAAGGCCTTATGGAACCATTTGGCAAGATGAGACTCGACTTTCAAGAAACTTAGGTCCTCCCCTGCCAAAATTGTTGATTTGGTGAAAACTAATGTATTTTTATGGATTAAATATAGGAGGAATCATTGAACTCTTGTCGGTTAATAATCGGAATGTGCAGCTGAAACACAGCAAACCGAACTGGGAACAAGATTGGCCGGAGATCGGAATTATTATACCATCTAGATCTGAATCCTCCTTGACAGCACAAACTTCTCCAAAATCCGGAATCTCAGACAAACAGAGGAATTATGTCAAAGGATTGAAATCAAGATGGTTTTTTCTACACAACTGTGTACTTCGTTCCTTTCTAGCCAGCCACTTGCACCCAATTTCCTTGGGTTGAAAATGAGTGGATTAAGGGGCAGGTTAAAATACTCCATTGTGGCCAGTTTAACTTCTCCGGTGACCGTCAAAACAATGAGGGTGATGGGTGACTCTCACATGAAAGAAAGACTAGCGCTCTATGTTTACTTTATCGTATATTGTCGTTGTTGCCATTCTCTTCCCCCGTGAAATACTAGACCAAGGACGACAACACATATGCCAAGAACTCAATTGGGATTATTTTCCAAACAAATCGCTACATGGTATAACGCCTTCAAATCGAAATAGTATCCACAGATAAATACCAGAACTCCAGGGAATCTAAAATTGAAACAATACACATAGAAGGAGACGCAGACGGCTCGTATATCCGGTAAGGAAGGGAGAAATCAGTGAAGGAGATGCGTGAAAAGCCGGTGAGGGGGAGAGGATCGCGTGAGAAACCAGCGCGTGAGGTACACGTGGGGTTATTAGGTTTTAGTTTTTCTTTTTATTAAAAACTACAATTAAATTGTAAATAAATTTAAAACCACTACCTTCTCGTAAATATTTTTTAAAAACGCAACCCCCTGGTACAAAAATCTGTAGTGTGTATAGTACGACCCAATCGTGTAACTGTTATGCCTTTGAAAAGTAGTATTTTCTGGTCAAAGTGTGGCAGCATATACAAGATTAGTCGATAAGTAGCTGAAATTTGTGTTTCCTCAATTATGTGCAGACCATTAACCAATCATTCCCCAGTGCAGAGAAGTACATGAATTGGAAGTTTAGAACTATCAAATTAAATGAACATATTGCTTTCATTCATCTTCTTGCTTGCCAACGTAGTAGCCATTCAAACAGTGCAAGTTAACCAACCAACCAAAAATAACATTAAATTTCCTTGTGTTGAAGCAGCAAAATTTCAAGGTCTCAGTGGCTTCAATGAATCACTTGAGCCCTGATACAATTTTGGTGCCATTGAGCCAGACCAGTGAGTTATTACGCCTTCTTTAGCAGCAATACGGAATGTGCATGTGTGTGTGTGTGATAAGTAGCAAATTAGTACCTTATGTCAATTAAGATGCCATTTATATTTAAAACTCGGAGTTAAATTAGCATACAAAGGCTGTAAAAAACAAAAACCCACAGAAATTACAACGCTTACAGTTACTGTATAGCAAACCAAGAAGTAAAAATACTATAATAAGGAAAAAACATAAAGTACATTGCAAGTTTGCAACTTCTTGCAAATAGCAGAATTCTTCATCCTGCAATACCTCCGTGTCCTTTTCCCTAAATACGTATAGCCTTTATTGCCATAATACAGATTATCTATACATCAGCATCCAAGCGACCATCTAGATAAGATATAATCTTTTTCTTTTCTCAAAGCATACATTGAATATGAAGGAAGAATTCAAATTTTGCAGAATAAATAAACTGAACATACAGTTAAGTGAAGGAATTAACTTATTTATCTACACAGTCGAATGTAGATCACTAGGATAGCCCGGATCTAATTCAGATGTGTGAATTACAACATTACTAAATAGTAAATAGTAAATACTAATCTAAGCAAGGAGCATCAACTATTTATTACAAAGATTCTGTTGCATCTAATAGGCATCCATCCACTGCAATGTGCCTTAGGTCTATGATGTGATTATCACGAAGAAACCCAAATCCAAATGTGCCATCACCATACTGCCAAATCCTTCCCTCCGCCTGATGAGGATTAACAGTTGACAATCCTGGTATCACCAGATCATAGCTTGAATCGATGTAAAGAATGCGTGACACGGCTTCCTTTTCTGAGCACAGCAGATGACCCGGTGGCAGAAGATGTTCACGGGTATCATATATGTATTCTTCTTCAGAAGAAAATGGAGATTCAGTGTTTGAGGTCCAAAAAACTGGTGCATAACTGAAGAAAGGTTTGCACGAGTCTCCAATCCTTCGACATGTTATAACACCAATGTCGTTATATGTCATAAGAAAGAAGTCCAAATTTGCATCTTCACAAAATCCCTGCAGCAAGGAACAAAATCAATGCTATCCTATCCCCATGACTTAAGTTATCAATTCAAACTCCAATCAAGTTTTCAAATTCTACAATGGAATGTTTGATTTACCTTCCAAAGACCCTGCAAAGGCCTTAAAGTTGTTGGAGAGCAATCGACAATCTTAACAAAATCCGCAGAGTCCCATTTCTTATTCCCCCGCCTCTCTCTTTCTCTCCTCCTCTGTCTCCTCCAGGCTCTTTCTCCTCCTGGACTCGTCCGGTTTGCAAAGTACTGATAAAGCTCAGAGGTTATCCTGTCCGGAGGGGATCCACTTTCAAACACGCGCGTCTCTTCATTCAGTACATTTAGATTCCCAAAGCTAACACGTTCTTCGATCACAATGTGATCCTCCTTATGAAAAACATCCACGGAAACCAATTCATTTCCCAGAGAAGAAATTAGATCATTCTGAACGAGGGCGATCGAACTGGAATCCAATTTTAGTTGGGAATTGGGTTCAAGAAAATTAACAATTTCACCTTTAGGAGAAATACCCATCCATAGAAAGGGGGCCTTTACGACGTTATAACTAGCGGTGTTGGAAGGTGAAACCCTACAGCCGGTAATGAAGGATGAACCCCACTCGAAAAAGACCAACGCCGGTGGTTGGTTAGGAATTGCGTTGGGGCTCCTGGCTTGGCTTTCGCTGCTGCTAAGACGCCAGAATCCGATCAAGTTTTCGTATTCGTGTAGCGTTTTGTAGAGATGCTTGAACGAGATCATACCAGAGCCCCATTTTTTGATTTGGGTCTTGGATCCCCATCGACGATCGCACATCGAAAACCATAGCTTGGAGTCGCTCCGGCAGACGGAGAGGAATTGCTTTGAGGTGCAGGCGAATGAGGAGATCTCGGATGGAGTGAGGAAAGACAGGATGCAGAGCTGAACGTCTTCGGGGAAGTCGGAGAAGGAAAGCACCGGTATGATTGTTTCACCGGCATCAAGATTGGCCATTTGGTTGTTGATTTGGGATTCTAAAGGAGGAACACACGATGTTACGGTCCTTGATACCAATTTGCTTCCTCGGTTATCTGTACAATCCGTGCATAAATTGGATAAATTGTGTTCCCGGAAGTCCGAGAGAGATTAAAGATCCTCAATTTTAAGAATTTGCATTTACATCTCTATAAAAGACTAAAATGCAAGAAGTGTCCTTGTTTTTTCCTAGTTATACTCATAGTTCAAATGATACTCTTATTTTCTTTCAAAAAGGTCCGGTGGCAGGTTTTTTTTGGGTTCCATTATTTTCATAAAAGACGTTATATTTTGATTTTATTTTGTTTAGACTTATTTTTTTTTTCCTTTTTCAAAAATTACCCAAGTTTTATCCATTACTTATTATTTTAGACCCCATCAGGTCATCAACAGGTAAATAAAGATTTTTTTTCATAAAAGACCCTACATTTTCGGTTTTGACCTAAAACGTTTTTTTTTTCAAAATAAACTCAACTTTAACATATTCCTTGATATTTCATTAATGGAGTCGGTTACCAACAAATAAACTTATATTCTCTAACTCATGTACGCCCTAAGCATCAATCACCTAAAAATGATTGAATCTAAAATGCTAGGTCACGTTTCTGTCTTTACTTTTTTTTGTTCATCATATTGGGTCCACTTTCAAGCTATGAACGTAAACTTAATAAGGAATGATGAAAATGAATGTTTTTATTGTGAGGATGAAGTTCTTTATTTACCATATGTCCCAAGGCTAAATGTGTACATATATCGGTTTTGGTTTTTAAAAATTAGTTTAAAACAAGTTGATTTTGTCTAGACCTATTTCGGCTATAAGCGGTTCGGTTTTTGTAAGTGAAATTATGTAAAAAGCCAACTTTTCTAGTTAAAATAGGTTCGTTCGGTTATAGTAGAAAAATCAGGAAAAAAAACTAATTTCAAATAGTTATTAAAACCTATTCTGAATCGGTTTTTAAAAAACGGTTCGGGTTTTTTCCTTCAATTAAAAAAACAGTTTGAAATGTGTACCTTTACCAAATGTTATTTTCACAATATTAATTTTGTTTTCGAATGATGCCCCAATACTATTTTCACAATGTTTAATTGTATGTTTATTTTAACAGTTCTATGATAATTTTGCAAGTAAGTTGCTATTTTTTACCTTTAATCCCATTTTGTCTCAAGTATTTATCAATATTTTTACAATAAGTACTAGATTTATTTGGCATTTATGAATGGAGGATCTTCGACATTTGCTATTTTTTACCAATAAAATCACATATCTTCGGTACCATATAGATGGAGGAGCTCTAACTTTAGCTTCATTTTAGAGGTTACAAAGGTAAAAAAAAATAGCTAAGGATCTTAGACATTAGCTTTTTACCTTTGTAACCTCCAAAATTAAGCTAATGTCTGAGATCCTCTATTAACGATAAAGTGATAAAGCCAAACTCAACTCTATCTACTTCTAGTTGATAGGCATATTGTTGTATTTTAAATGTATTCAAATTTATCTTATCATGTAATCTCATTTATACTATATATATGGAATACAACTCTCTCCATGGATTCATTGGAGATTGGTTATATCTACTGTTATATGGTATCAGACAGTTTCCGATCCTTCTTCTTCTTTTTTCCCTTTTTCTAAGCCGGCCCTACCTTCCTTTCTTCTCATCGATCATGGCTTCTTCAAGCACAAACGATGGAAATCTCTCCCTTAATACTATCTTACACATGCTTACGATTAAGCTATCATCCACGAATTATTTGTTGTGGAAAAATCAGATTCTCCCTCTTCTCAAATATCAGAATTTGTTTGCTCATGTCAATGGTGAATCAGTTCGTCCCTCTGAGACGATTACAGTGGAAGACAAGTCTTCCCCAAATCCTCTTTTGCCCATCTGGGAAGAG